CCCCCCCCCCCCCAAAAAACCCTCCCCGTAACTTACGAGTCCGTTCAACTATGAAAAGTCTAGCCATTCTACTGTTTAACTACCGTTCTCTGACAAAATGCCTTTTTCTTATTCACAGCAGTTTGGAGAAATCAGCATTTTTCCCTTTCTTATATATAACTAGCTGGGCCCCCTTTCGATGAAAGGAATGATCGGTGCATTAATATCAAATGAAAGTCATTGGCCTACTATATTTACACTTTACTGGAATGAAGCAATAAATCTTAAGAGATGCAAAAAATTAGAAGGTCTAGACGTAGATTCTAGATATAGATCTAGATCTATATACTCTCAAAACAAAATGCGCCTCGCGTACTATCACTTCCGCACCGGATTTTCTAATATTACATAGAGAAAAACGTCGGCCTACAAAAGCGATCGGCGAAATAAAGAAATTTAGCTTTTTGCAGCAAAACTGTCTCAAAACTGAAAAAAAAACGAAGGGCGTCATGATCTGGAGAATGTTTTAAAGAATCTTTTGTCGAAAACCGCATGTCGATCGATGCAGCCATTAAAAAGCCTTTTGAATAGCAAAATTCGGTCACCACAAATAGATAATAGATGATATTTAAACTATTTTGCACAGCACATCAGCAGTTTAAATCGCTTCCTGAAGAGAATGTCATTCCCTGTGCTCGACAGATATTATAAGAAAACCAAAAATCGTTGGTTTCTTGAAACCGCTGAGAATAAATAAAAGGCGTTTTGTCAGTGTACGGTTCTGTAGAGACTGGCAAACCTATTCGCTTGATCTGAGACCCTGTATTTAATTAGACGTAGCTCGAGGGAGACGGTCCCGGAAAAGGAGAACTACATTATGTATTCTAAATAAGCGTCGCTTTATTATTGTAATATCCTGGGGATATTTTTTTCTGTCGCCAGCGCTACAGTAGTCGCTGATTATTCAACTTTCTGGATTGATGTCACAGCGGAACTGTCGCCCCAAGACGAGTCTCTTGCAGTGGCGGCACCTTTCTACCCGGTAGGTTGCCTGTATGTGAACGCACAGATAGTCAGATAATTTGCACTACGACATAAACACTTTTTTCAATTTTTTAATGTTGTTATTTTTTATTTTTTTATTTTT